TCTAGCCACTTATGTTTTCAGTTCTTAGCATTAAAGAGACACTATAGCCACCAAAACAACTTTAGCTTCATGAATCAGTTTTGGTGTATAAATTATGCCGCTGCGGTTTCACTGCTACCTGCAGGTAAGCCAGGACTCTCAATAATCAAGCAATTAGAGAAGGCAAAAAACAGGGTTTAGACATCTAAAACACGTTTACAACAACCTGAGACAATTAAGCACTAAATCATGTTAAAATTAAACAAGGAATATGATGCTAACTTGTTAAGTTAACCCTTACATGGGGGACATACTGACCTGGCCTTAAATTTGTCCCCTCTAAGGGCCTAAACAAATTTGATACATTTGTGGAACTTAACAGATTTAAGAGAAACTTATGTCTGAAGAAGTTATTTTTGAAAAATCCAATAACGAGACCCATGACACCAATTAATGATAATGAATACATACACACTACATGTGGCGAAACCGGCCTCGCCACGTGTCCTTGGAGGGGGCTGCTTGCCCGCCTCTTGCCTTTGGACTATGGACCAGACTTTATGTGAATGTGTTAACCCAGATAGCTATGCCATGGAGCCCATTCGTGTAGTTAAAGACTTCGGCTCCATGGCAATTGAACGGTGTGAATAGGATCTGAGCGCTATTCGGTAGTTTTGTGCGCTCAGATCCCAGCTATCTGGGAATATGTGACATGTCTGTGTTTTATGTATAAAATGTGACTTTGTGTATTTTATAATATTTTAATGCTTTGTGCTCACCATGTGCATAATGGAGTCTTGTGTCTGTCCTGGGAGATAATTTAATTACTTCTCAATTCAATCTCCAGGATAGAAGACTCTGAAACTGGTTTGGGCCGGAAAGCCATGCTTCTTTTAGTCACAAAGGACTTTCCCTTAACTTTTGAACCCCTGGTCTGATTCGTGCCATTTTTTAATATGTTGTTCCCCTGAATGGATTGATTATGAAAATGTATGTTTATCTTTGTGACATGTATATTTTAGAAGTTATAAATATTGCGTAAAAACTGTATTCCTCTGCCGGTGATAATGAGATTACCCATTGTGTTCAGTAATCATATCACAGGCAGAGGGGAGGATTTTGTGTGGGAGTGTCTGGGTGTATTGTATGGATTGATTGGCTGTTTTGTAATGCCCTGTGGGCTGTACTATGTTTGTGGATTGGGAATAAAAGAGACTGTATGTGACAGTACAGGAGTTCCTGTTTTAACCCTCAAAGTGAAGTGTCGTCTTATTATTGGGGGAAGGATTTATTGTATGCTGTTCCAGTTTGACTGCTAGGAGAGTAAACCTATTCGTATGGTTCCTATTCAACTGTCTACAGCATTCATATGCTTGAGAGGATTCATATGTTTCCCCGGTTCGGTGGTTGTGGTGTCTGCTGCAGTGCTTGGAGTCCTCAGGAAGCGCTAGGAGCATCCTTTAACGGAGGTACCCAGTCGGGGTGCCAGGTGATCCGTTACACTACACTTGATAAGAAGTCCACATTTTTTCCAAGTCATTTAATATCAAACAAAATGGCCAGCTTTGAAAGACTAATTATGAAAGATATTGAGAAAATTAAGACACCCAACAAATACCAAAAAAATCTATCACCAAATGAACAGTAAGCATTGAGACTATTAGAGAAAGATAAACAACTAATAATAAAAACGGCAGACAAGGGGGGTTGGGTGGTCCTCATACCTCAAGATCACTATACTAGTGAATCCTTAATACTCCTGGGTGACACTACTACATATAAAAAACAAAAAGGAGATCTTATAATATTAAAGAGAAATTTGATAAATTTCTACAAAAAAGACAGGAACTTGCTTATATAGACATAAGGTTTCCAAAGACACTTGTTTTCTACTATTTACCAAAGATTCATAAGGATCCAATTAAACCCCCTGGTAAAACCATACTGTCGGGTATAGGATCCATAACTAGTAGACTCCCTGAGTATATTGAAAAGTGTCTCCAACCGACGGTTCCAAAAATTCTGAGTTACCTGAGAGATACAGGTAGTATTCTCCAGATGTATATAAAAGAAAATATATATATATATATATATAATCACCAACACCTAAAAGTAATAGGGAAGTGAAAACAACACTTAACTCATTGGACACTCACATGATAGATGAAAATACATCACCCAAAGGTGCCTCTCCTGATGGAAAGGGGGGCCAAATCCACTCCTCTTGCCTTCAGAGATGATGAGATATGGGATTCAGGATAAATGGATACAATTCTGCTTTATTATTAAAAGTAAAAAAATACATGTTTCGTCCTGTAAGGACTTCCTAAGGGACCTCCTGGTGTTGAAAGCTACCAAACTAAAATGACAGCGGCAATAAAATCAAGATATAATCAGAATAAGCAGTATTCGCCAGATGTTACAAAATATATCTTGGAGAGAGGATGATATCCTAGTTCAGTGATGGTGAAC